CGTAGGAATTTTTAAATTTTGTTTATTTAACATTCTTATATCTCATAGTTCAAACATTGAGATATTATTTATTGCAACTCCCTAATTGTTTCAATGAATGCATCTGGATGGTTAGTCGAACTTGAAATCAATTTATCTTAATTTTATAACAGAGAAATGGTCTAATTGTTATCATTATCCTTTTAAAATTATAATAAAGCTTTCATTTTCCTGTCAATGCTGCTACTATCTATTGTTTTTGCTACATTTTTGGTTGGATAGAATGCCTCTTGGAACTATATCCTTGGATCTCTATGACCTGCTATAGTGAAAGAATCTTGACAGATAGTTGTTTGCAATCAGACAGATATAGGAAATGGTCTAGTACGTGAACATCGGTGCTCATTAACGTGTGTTGTCAGTCATTCTATGATTATTTTCCTTATTCTGTCTCTGATATGCTCATTCATTATTCAGCAAAAGCCATTGCTAATAAATTTTAGCATGTTGTCTGTGTCTTATGTATGAATATATGTCATGCTTTTGCTGGTCTGGCATTATCTTTCTGCTAAAGTATTCTACTTGAACAAACAATAGGTGGTAGTCCATCAGTTCTTTTCATTTGTGACTAGGTCTGACCTATCATCATCATCAATGTTTGGGTGAAGTTGTTTAGACATTCTGTTTTTTTATCACACAAAGACCTGCTCTTCTGACATTGATTGTATTTATAAGCATGCCAATATTTGTTGGTTCTGATTGAATGAATTTGACCGATGTTATTACCTGATGCAGGCCCCAGGTAACAAAAGCCACAGCAATAATATTTTGTCATCGGTTCTTCATTCGACAATCACATGCGAAGAATGATAGAAGAGTGAGTTATTATTCTGTCTGGTGAATATTGTTAAAACTTCATATAAACTCAATATTTCCCTTCTGAAATAAGGCAGCCTTTATGTATTTTGATTCCATTTCATCATGAAATTTTATTCAGTTAGCTTTTCTTTTGGTTGAGAGAATGTTGGTCTGCATAATAGAACGGTTTATGGTTGAAAAGTGTCATAATAGAGTCTTTAACCATGATTGTTTTTGTTAACTTTACCTCTTTACCTATCATTTATTTCTGATGGAAATCTTTTGTAAGCATTGATTTGGAACATTCTTATGCTCATTTTTGCTCAACTTCATTTCCTTGCTTGCTTGATAGACTATAGCTACCGTGTGTATGTTCCTTGATGGGAAGGTGGAAGAGACTCATCGTCCGTTAAAGGATGTTATTCTGGTTTCCTATGAGATAATAAACAAAAAAGATCCCGCTGCATCCCAGAAGGTCAAACAGAAGGTATTCTTTGAATTAACCGTGCTTTCACCAGTTTATTTGCATTCCTTATTCTGATACTTGAGTCGCGCTTGTCTGCCCTATCATGTTTCTTGGTCCAACATGTCAGATTGTTCCCTGACCTACTTGCACTTGCCGTTCCATTTGTATAACCTTTCTAATTTTCTTTGCTCTCGTGTTTATTTATTTATGTATCATTTTCGCTTGTTTTCTTATACTTCTGGCATATAAGACTGACACCAATAGTAATACATTGCCAATGAGTGGAAAATACTTGTTAGAGACATTGCTTGATGGTATTGTGGCGTGTTCTGTTTCCTTCTGCCTGAATTTGTTCTTCCGTTCCTCTTGAATTTAAAATTCTTGCTTTGAATCACTTTATTCTCCAATAGCTGTGTTCTTGGTAACAGATCTCGCTGCTACCTCACTGGCTCACTTTTTCTTTAATTTTTGTCAAAATACAACATTCTTATTATCCTAGCTATTTTTGTTTTTAAACTTTTTTTTTGTTTTTTGTTTGCACAACTGTGGTTGCAGAGTTGCTCATAAACTTCAATCTATATCTTGCAGGAAGTGTATGAGCAACAAAAGGAGTTTAATTGGGGAGAGGGTTGTACTTGCCACATTAGGCTTTGACCTCAATCTTCATCACCAGTATAAACCTCTTGTTGAGGCTATAAAGAAATTCAAGATTGCACAGAATGCTCTTGCTCAAGTTGCGTGGAATCGTTAATGATGGGTAAGTTTAATGGTGTTCCTTCAAGTGTTTAAAATGATCTCTACCTTCTGTTCTCTTTTGACACACTGCAAAGCGGCTTGCAGGCTGAGGACGTCGCTCTGCCTGCAATTTAAGCCCCATCATATTGCGGCAGGTGCCATTTTCCTTGCTGCCAAGTTCCTCAAAATGAAGCTTCCCTCCTTGCCAATTAGATGTTACCCCTCGTCAATCGGATGGTGAGAAGGTTTGGTGGCAAGAATTTGATATCACCCCTCGCCAATTAGAGGGTTGGTGTCCTCTCCATAACTTTGTAAAAGATATGATGAATACAATTGGACATTTACTAGAGGGCCCCAATGGAACTGGTGTTACTTGCTTATAGCATTTGCCGGATGATGCTTCTCTTAAATTTGATTCATTAATAGCCGATTATAACTCTGTTTCACATAATTATTTTGGTTTCGGTAGGCAGTCTGCTTATTGACATGTTTTGTGGAGTGTAATCCATGTGCTAATCTGTGTCTTTCCTTTTTCTTTTTCCACTTACCAACTGTGGTTTTTCTTGCAGAGGTTGGCAATCAAATGCTGGAACTTTATGAGCAAAACAGAGTGCCCGTGAAGTAGAAGGAAGTGCTGGCGGTGGTACATCTCATAGAGCTCTTGCAAAACATCCTTCAGGAAGTGAAGAAAAACAATCACGGTCAACAGCTGACCACTCATCAGCAGACAACCATGGAATGCCATCAAGAACCGCTCAAAATCGAAGTAATGATAATGGGAGTGGGGAGACGGGCAGTGTCATTACGGATCACAAAATGGATATTGAAAACAAGGATAGTCAACATCATGAGCAGTTGCCCCACAAGGATAACATGAGGGAAGTTTCGAATAAATCTAGGTCTGGAATGGAGCGAACTGCTGGGGAAGACCTGGAAAGAAGTGGTGGTAGAAATGAAATTGCAGAAACAGGTGAGTGGAGGGATGATGGAGCACATCGTAAGGTTAGCAATGTGGTTGGACGAAACTTGGACACTAGGGAAGGACCGGTTGGGCAGTCTCCCAAGGAAGCAATTAAAATTGACAGAGACAAGCTGAAGGCTGCACTCGAGAAAAGGAGGAAGTCTCGTGGGGAAACAACAAAGAAAAAGGATGTAATGGATGAAGATGATCTGATTGGGAGGGAGCTAGAGGATGGGGTTGAATTGGCCGTTGAAGATGAGAAAATCAGGCGAGAACGTCGACAAAGCTGGTCCAAGGATGAGAATCAAGATCATTGGGAAATGAGAAAAGGGAACCAGTTCGTTACAAAGGAGCAGTCATCTAAGGGAATCGAAACAGAGGCTGCTGAAGAAGGTGAAATGCTGGATGATGCTTCTCCCATAGTGAATGGCGGAAGAGAGAAGGTGGAAGCCCATCAGACAGGCAGCCTGAAGGGAAGAAGCATAACGAGTACAACCATGACAGCGTAGAAGAAGGGCAAATAATGGGTCGGAGTAATTATGCAGAAAAGGAGCATAGTAGGCATGCTTTGTGAGGCAGTAAATATTGAATTCTTTCAAAGTTCGCTGGCTTGCATCATGCGATATGATCTTTAAGTACCGATGTGGAAATAATCCCCGAAATGGTGAGAGAATGATCCCTTTGGAAACTCGGAAAGATTGGCAGAAATGTATTTTGAATATAGGATTGCCTACAATGGCCGCATGTCATGGCTGTAATGTAATGTTCTAAACTGAGGACGCTACTTGATTTGCCGCCGTCCACGGAAAGTAAAGAGGCAGTTTGAACTATTTTTAACTTAGTTCAGATTCCCCCCCCCCCCCCCCGAAAAAGGAAAAATAAAATGATATTGAGCCTAGACAGACTATCTCTGAAAATCCCATTTCGTTGCTGCATTTTCAAGGAACTGGTTTTGTTTCTCTATTTGCATTTGGTTATATTGGATAATTTGCACTTCCTTTTCCTACTATTCAACTTTAGATCTTAAGCTTGTGAGTTGTGTTATCCATTGTTATTACTGGATGGAAAAGAAACCATTTTTTGTCATATTTATTTTTGAGCTTGTGGGTTGCGTATTTTACCCATTATGTGTTTTTATCGACAACTTTACATATAAATTTAACATTTGTCAAAATGTATGAAAACACAGCCGACTCACCCTTGAAGCTCCTGTACTTCACAACAATGGCATAGCTTGAACTTAGAACTAAGTTATATATTTGCTCGGATGCAATGAATTGATTCTATGAAAATATAAATCCCAATGCTTTAGCAACCGAGCACCATTCCCTTTTGCGTTGGCAACGACAGAAATATATATTATTTGTTAAATGATTATATTGGGAGCAGGAGAGAAGCATCAACCGACAGAATTAATGTCGCAATAATGGAGCCTAGTTTCACCCATGACACTAATGACGAGGCTCTCAACCCATCTTCTTTGTCTTCGTTTCTAAAGAGAGATTTATGGCACATGTGTGTAGGGTTTTGTAATAGGAAGATGAGGTCTCACAAATAAATAATACAATGGGTTAAAGATTACAACTTGAATTTTATTTAATTCAATCTGAATTAAAATATGATATGTGAAAAAAATCTATAATGAATGTAAAATATGTTTATTATATAAGATTTTATGTCCGTACAATTATATATATTAAAAGATTTGTTATTATTCTTTAAGCCTCATCATATATATTAGGAGTGTGAGTGTTCATTGTCAAATGACTAAGAGTTATTTTTAAACAAATATACTATTTTGTATTTACTCTAAACTTATTAAAAAAAACCATTATCTTGTGCGATCTATGTATAAACCAACACCATCAAACTATCACAATATTAAAGCAGATAAAAATGGAGAAATTCACACGCTAACTTCAGTCCATTATATAGACTACTCTTTATATATAAAGTTTAAATGAATTATATATGTACATTATACGGTTAATGACTAAAGACACTTCAAGCCTAGCCGCTGCCTAAAAATTACTGGATATAAAAATGTAACCCGAGAGACGTACATAATTAAGTTAGCATGACCACATGGGCTCTCCCAGGCTAGCCTGGTCCATTACCAAATCCATGTAAAAAATGGGCATGCCTTGTGAACCCATGAGCTTGGATGGTGGTGACCCGCTAACACTCGGGCTTGTAGTGCCAAACCCATGCTGATAGGATGTGGTCTGCCTCACCTGGAGGTGCACCATCTCTGCCTGTGCCAGTGCCAACTGCGTTTGAAGGGTGTCTATCTGCTGCTGCAGTGATGATATCGCTCCCACGCAGCCATAAACCGGGTCACGTATCCTGGCGTTGGCCTCATATACGATGCTGCTAACGGCGTCGCCTTGCTGATGAACTGGTAACTCCTGCGATTTCGATAGCTCGCGTATCAGCTTGGACGGCCCAAAAGGGAAAGGAAGGAACAACATTCTTTAAGGTATTAAGGCGGCTAAATATTCGAATCGATTCGATTAATGTCTATCCCTAATATAACCAAATATGATATGTTTAATATGCGTTATTATATTTCTATTTGACGAAATGAGGAGTTGTTCAAACAAATATTGTGCACTTTTTTTTATGGCAAAAGCAACTAGGAAACATCTGCATGTGATCCCAAAATGACCTTTAGAAATTGAAGCAAAACTGAGGAAAAGCTACTAATGCAGCTATGGGTACTATGGTAAGATGCTCTTGTTTTAACCTAGAGAAACAACAACTGAACACGACAAATTCATCTTTGCCAATTTTGTGCCAAAATTTCAGACTATGAACAGGAAACCATATTTGCTCCATGTCAACGACTGTGACAATTTTAAATGTATTATATAATTTACAATTTTTCTTTATTTTCTGTCTACTTATTAAATTTTATAAGATCTTCCCCTAACATAAAATCATGTGTTCGTCCATGTGGTACCCTTGATGCTTAATTAAGCAGTACATCACAAAGTTGGTTAAGCCATAGCATTGTCCAAGCTCACCTGAAGCATCTTGTTGACATTGCTAGCACCGAACACCTTGTGTACGTTGGCGAACTTTTGGGGTTCATCAGCTGGGAAATAAGGAGCAAATACACAGTCTTGAGCGCACCTTCTCCTTAGGAGCTTGCATGCTGCACACGGCGAGGCTGCCCCCTGCTTCCTCCCACTACTCTCCTTCATGCTTCTCGCTTAAGTCTTAACTTTAGTACTTACTATCGATGAACAATCACACAAACGAAAAAAAGCTCAATTTTCCCTTCGAGCTGATGTATGTAGTTCAGAAGAGCAAAGATAGGGGTTGAAGAAGAAGAAGAAGATGGTGAAAGTGGCAAAAAGAAAATGAAGATTGAGAGTGAATCAGAGGGGAGAAGTGGGGTGTTATTAAATAAGCAAAAAGTTCAATACATCTGAGTTGGACCCCCGGCCCTTTAGGTTTTGGTAGACAAAAGACGTCTCCAATTTCTTAAAAGAAACATCTACGGCACCGTTCAAACCGTCGGTAAAAGAATTATTATTATTTTTCGTGGTTTTAAATTCGAATACTAAAAATACTAGAGATGTGAGCCTTTAATATCAAACGGTTGATAGTTATCTATTAGCATATACCACATTGTATTTACCTATAATTATTCCAAAAAAAATCTACGAAACAAAATCTGATTTGACCCAAAAATATTAAGTTGATTTGATGTAAACAAATTGACTTGATTTGAAAAAAATTAAATTAAAATTTAAGATATAAAACATGACTGAATAACTCAATAATTTTAGTAATAAACGGATCGATTTTTAAGTTCGAGTCAAGTCACTCAATTTTGCATTATGCATGTATATCACATAAAAAATGTGAAGAAATATATATGTATATGTACATTGTTAGAATAAAGTCATTAAATTGAAGACAATTAGTACCATAATATCATAAATATTTATAATTAAATTTAAATGAAAATTTAAACACCTCGACTTAATTATTTTTAAATAAAATATAAATTATATAATAAAACTCGTTAATTAATGTTTCTAATCTTTTTATATATTTACAATGGAACGACACATTTGACTCTATATTTCTAATTTTTTTATATATTTACTTCACTTCTTATAGGTAATGTTTGAAGTAGTGTGAAAACGATGCATGTGCATGCATAGGACTAAGAGCATAACATCCAAATTAATGAATATTTTCAACAACAATAATCATTATATATAGTAGGGTTTGGTCAACAAAATATTATTTCATAATACATATTTGAGGTTCCAATGCATTTATGGAAAAAAAATTCCCTTTTGTTGTCTTCATCTTCATGTGTTTGTGTGAACTCATGTACTGCTTTGTCGATTGGAATTCAAGGAAGTTGTTGGGATTTTGCGGAAGCTCAAATCGAAAATCGAAGGGGTTCGTCAAGAGGGGTCGGATCGATTTTTGTGTTTAGGAAGTAAGGAGATTGAAAGATAGAAAATTGCACAGCGATTTATGGTTCGACTTCTCAACCAAGTCTACATCCACTACCTTAGCTCCTCATTAAGGATTTTCCAACAAATTCACTAATTTGTTCTTTCTTTTTAAAGGACAAAGAATAACCTTTACAAACTCTATAGTTTTTCACGGGTTAAACTAGAACTTTTCCCTAGCTTTTAGCAGACTTAGCTAGAACCAAAACCCCTTTACAATGAAAGGAAATGTAAACAAGAAAACCTCTCTAAGGTAGGTGTCTACAATAATTAAACTCACAAAAACAAAAATATTTCAAATTTAACTAGTCGTTGCTAGCCGTTGGAGCCTTGTAGTGTCGTACTGCCTAAGGGGTATCGATACTACTTTGCACTATGGTATTGATACCCTTGCATGGTATCAGTACACATTTTACATTCAATGTTTTGAGCCTTCATGGTAGTATCGGTACTACCTTGATGGTATCGGAACTACCTTTGCCTAAGGTATCGATACTACATGTAGGGCATCGATACCCATTCATGTGGTATCGATACTGCAAAGAACAGTATCGTTACTACTTGTAATTTTTGCTCAATTCATATTTTAAATGAACTTTGAATTATTTTTAAAATCTTTTAAAACTTTGAATAAATTCAATTCAAGTCAAAAAACATTTTGTCATAAATTGTTATATCAAAATATAGGTCAAAAGAAGTGACTGGGTATTCCTAAAATCATCATTAATTATTTTTTAAATAAATTATATATTTAGTCATCCAATTATTATGTAGTTTCATTTTGGTCATCTAATTATTTTTTTTAAAAATCATACCTAATGTTACGTTTTTGTTTTTATTTTGATCATCCGCAATTAAAAAATTAATGATAATGTTGACGTATTATCATAAGATAATGTCAAAAAAACAGTCAATATTCTATTATTTTTTAATAACGGGTGATCAAAATGTAACTTAAGATATAATTTAAAAAAATTATCATTGATTTATCATTAAATGACCAAAACAGAACCGTATGAATAGTTAGATATGTAAATATATAATTTATCATTAATTTTTATATTTCATCCTCGTAATATCAAACGATTGACAAGGAAGATGAAGACTTTTAGAAACAAGAGATTTTGCTTATTAATTCACATTATGTCATGCCACATGAAAAGTAAGAGGATGAATAAATTTAATACTTGATATGTTTGTGCAATACTTGATAGTTACCATTGATGGGTTTGAGCAAATTGAAGTATTTAGTGTTTAACACTATAATTGAACCAACAAAATCATGGGCATCTTCTACTCATTATCCCTTAAAGTATATGTTTGTGGCCACCTCAGTTGGTAAATGTGTAGGTTCCACTCAGGTGGATTTTGTCCATAAAAAATACTTGCAACTACTTCAAATAATCAACTTGTTTTGCCTTCCAAAAGTAAATAACAAGGACAAAGCTTTATTGACTGCCCTAGGTTAGGTTATTCTTTTTTTATATAATATTAATTAAATTAAATCAAATCCAGTTGGTTATATTATTTGTTTTAACTTGAAGATAATTAGATATTTTAGAAAGTTTGTGTGAAAAATCAACAGTTCAATCGAATATTTTAGATATTCAGCCGGTTATATTAATTAATCAAATTTGGGTAATTTTAACCGGAGAAAAAGTTCGAATTTTAAATAAAAATTAACAACTTCATCTCAAAATTCATGTATAATTGAATTAAATATGAGTTTAAAATATTTAATTATACTTAAATTCAAACATTATCTAATTAGAATTTAACTTTGTAACTTTTAATATGATTGCAACACAATTAATTTTTCATTATTTGGTATTTTTTATTTTGAAATAGTATGCGACGATTAGAAAGTAGTATATGTTTAAAACTTTTCTTAACCTGTACACTCACCCTAGACGCAACTGTTCGAATCAAGAACCTCTAGAAAAAATAACTTTATTTTTTTACCAATAAAACCACTTTGTTGAGTCAATCGAAAGAATGAAATAGCCAAAAGGATGTGAATTGACAATTAAAAAAATTTGGTGGAAGCTTGAGAGAAAAAGTAAACAACTGAACACAATAATTTAGAGTGGTTTGACTTATCAACCAAAGTCTACATCCACTACCTTAGCTATCCACACTAAGGATTTCCACAAATTCACTAATTTGTATCTACCTTTGAGGATAATGTGTAACCTTACAATTCCCTCAAGAATTATACCTCAAATTCTTGAGACACTCTCTCAAAGAGAAAATTACAAATTACAAACTTATAAAATCCTCACTAGGAATGTGTTTGCACAATTCAAGAACAAATAAGAACACTTGAGAAATGAATACATGAGTACAAGAACTGTTCTTTGAAAGCAAAAAGAATATTAAAGAATGTTGACTTGATTTGGCTAAAACTTGTTGTTTATGGTTTTCTCTTTTGTCTCTTATCTTCACAATTGACTTGGGATCTTATTTATATATTTCCTCAATCAATTTCAACAGTTTGGGTTGTTGTGGGAGTGAATAGAGTCGTTGGGGGCATTTTCCTGCATTAAATGCTGCTCAGAAGCTTGTAGTATCGGTATTCAGTCTATCAGTATCGATACTCCCTGCATTAAATATAAAAATTTGACTGTTGGGAAACTTCGATATCAATACAGTCACAAGGGTATCGGTACTACTATATTCAGTATATCGAAACTGTATATAGTATCGGTACCATTTTAGTATACTGGAATTTGACGGACTCAAAACCAAAAGGAGTAGTATCGGTACCATAACTAAGTGTATATGTACTACTACACTAAGTAATATCGATACTGTATATGGTATCGGTATCATTTTAGCATTATGTTTTGACAATATCGGTACTACCTCAGCAGTATCGGTACTAATTCATTGTTTTGGGCTTCAGTATCGATATCTGTATCGATACTTCTTGAACAATATCGGGATTGTTCTAGCAGTATCAGTACTACTATGCTTAAAAATCATTTTTGACTCGATTAAAGTTCGAAACCCTTTGTAAAAATTATTTCAAAAATATTTCCAGTATAGGATTCAAATTTTCAGTAGAGTAGGGAGTAAAAATTGACATTTTAACTTTAAAGAATGATTTTATATATTCGAATGGCTGAATTGAATATAATCTTAAATTTTGTAAAAACTAATTAATAATTTTGTTTGGTATATCAAAATATCAAAGTATTTTCAACACATTTGATTCGCTCAATTAATTTTGTAATTAAATAAAGGTGACTAGGCTGATTACTATATTTTTTCATTAAACCTTAGGAGAGTAAGTGGAAATTTCATCAGATCACATGAGTGCTTTTGTAATTTTCCCATTTAAAAATCAAATAATCTATTTATTTTCATCTTTAGTAAATATAATTATTTATGAGTGTAATATATAAACATAAAATAAAATGGTGTTAGATTGATAACACCGTTGGTTTTTTAAGTTAAAGAGTGTTAGTTGTTTGTTAAAAGACATAATGTGAAAAATATGTATATAATATTCGATTAAATAGTCGTTTTAATCTCTATTTTTACAAATATTTTTGTCATCAACATTTTATTTTGGGGTAAAATACTCATTATTATATCAAAATTTTTAATTAATTAACAATTAACTTTTATTCCTGACGTTATGAGTCATATGTTAAAAGTGATGATGTCACACATGGCACGTGTTCAAAGTGAATGACATTATATTGTCATACACCAATCGGACCCAAACTAAAAAACCTAAGCCCAAACCTAGTTACCCTAACCCTAATCCAACACCAGCCGCTGTCACCACCAGCAAAGGTTCCACCTGCGCCGCTGTCACTTGCCATGCCCGCCGCCACTCAGGTTGAGAGTCACTCCCGTCGTCACCACTTCAGCTGGTCCATGTTCCAC